TCTCTCCCTCTCTCCCTCTCTCTCTCTTCCTGAAAATCAATAAAAATTTTGATTTTTTGAAAAATTGAAGGAACCCCCTGAAAAGGGATATGCTTTCTCTTTTAAGAGAGAGAGAGAGAAAGAGAGAGAGAACTAAGGAGCCTGGATCTGTGGGAGCCTAGAGGGGAGGTTAGTGGAAAGAGGGGAGGCAGTCCCTGATTTGTACCGTCCTGGAAGGAGGGGCCCCAAACCCAAAGCCACCACCTCTGTGCTGATTTTTTATTAGATAGTGTATTCTGTTCTGGCTTCTCTGATTAGTCCTTCCATAATCCTTCTGGCCAAACCTACTCTGCATTGGGCTGCTCCTCAGAATCTCTCTCTGATTGGTGCCTGTTTTCCAAACTCCCTGCTTCTGGTTGGGTAATTCCTTGTACATGCCTCTGTCTGACTAGATGGTTTGCAATAATAAGCTTGGACACAGACATAAGTTTAACTATTGGGGACGAGGAGGGACAAGTGGGAGGGAAGGGAGGAGGAGAAAGAGGGGGAGATGGCCCACCTAAGAAAGTGAGTGGCCAATTGGCCACAGAATAATAGCCTTGGGTTAAAGTTCTAACTACAGAGTCCTAGGTGTGGAACTTCAGGCAACCATTTTTAGTTTCTGTGCCTCTTTCTTCATCTGTACATTGGGGATAATGTACCTTCTTCATGGGACATTGTAAGAATTAAATGAGTTAATAATATCTATAAAGTGCTTATAGAAGTACTAGTACATAGGAAGCCCTCAGTCAGAGGATTAGCTATTATTATTAATTTGAACATGTAAGTGCACAACCTTGAACTACCTCTTTTGCCTCTCTGACCTCTGCAGGCCAGGGAATTGCTTGACCTCTTGATTGAATGACTTCTCCTATCCCCAGCCCTCCTCCTCTTCCATCCCTAGCCATCAGGGACTCAGGCTGTGATTAGAGGGAGGGGAAGAGACGTGCCTGGCAGAAAGATGAGGTAGGGCACCAGGACAAGTGTCAGAGGAAAGGAGCTCATCACACCCTAACCTTCCTCTCACTCCCTTCCCCCACAGAAAATTGAGGGCAGGGGATTTCTTTATGTAGAGTGATTCTATGCTGAATCCCTCAAGCAAGGCCTTGTCCTGCTTGGGAATAAGGGGGCAAGGGATGGACAAAGTGAGTGGTGAGGGTATGGTATATTCTGGCTGGGAAGAATGGGGAAGAGTTGGAGCTGGGGAGGGGCAGCCCAGGCCCTAGGTCACAATGCCATTGTTACCATGGCAACAGCCACCTCTATAGGGAACCTGGAAAGGAGTGGAGGAGGGAGCCAGGTCCCTGAATCTGGGGACACAGAGAAGAACTGAGACATGAAGGAGAAGCAATGAGACAGAAAGAGTGATTTATAACTATGAAGATCTGCCTGTCTGGGAATTTTCAGAGCCTAGTACACTGTTGGTTCTCAATAAATGTCCCTCAGAGACAGAAACAAAGCCTGAGGGTGTCAAATGCCCGGGGACGCCAGAAGACAGAAGAATCTCCAGACAGGGACAAATAGGCTGTCCCTTTCCTGCCCCCTCAACACCATACCCATTAGCGGTCCACTAAGGATCCTGGATCTTCTTTGCCTTCAGCACTGGAGCCTCTAGGTCTACCCAACCACACAAACAACCCACCCCAAGAACTCCCAAGCCCCTGAACAATTATGTTTGATCTTTCAACAACTTTCTGCATTTAAATTCTTCCTGACTGAGGCCTCACTGAGAAAAGTAGTATTCGGTGTAAGCTAATGCCTGCTTAACCCCTAGAGCTGGGAAGGGAAGGGAAGGGAGGAGGGGGGGAAACGGACAATCTCCTTTACTCTCAGGGACCCAGGTATTCTTAATCCCCTCCGGAGTGGCTCCTTCATGGATTCAAATATTCCCCCAATTCCTCCAGGAGACCGGGCCGCCCCCATACTTCCTAGGAAACCCCACAGGCTTCTTTCAGAGAAGCAGGTATCCTCCTTTCCTCCCGGAATTCAGCGGACATCCACTTGGTCTGCCTGCCCTCTGACGGCCTGAGGCTGGTACTGCAGGGACTGTCAGCTGGCGCCCGCAATGAGAAACAGAAACTGAGCCAGAAAGAGGATCTCTGAGTTCTTGCAGTTTAATTTCTTCGGGGTCTCGGATGTTCAGGTCCTAGGGGTCTGAATCCCCAGTTCCTTTGGGGACTCAGACATCAGGAATTCAGATCCCCAACCCAGAGGTCAACGAAAGAAAGACAACTTCTCTTGGAGCCAGGCCTCGGTGAGGTCATCAGTGGTGCGGATTTCAAACACCTGGGCGGAGAGAGTTCTCAATATCACGACCCATTCAGGAACTGAGAGAGCGAGGCCCCAGCCCCTTCCTCCCTCAGACCCAGGAGGCTAGACTCCCTGACCCCTCCTCCCTAACACTATGGGATCCTCAGCCCTAGGCCCAGACCTTTGTGAGCTCTGCAGTCTGCACCAGTCTGTTTTTACTCCCTGCATACATCATCTGTTGTTCGGGCTTGCAGCCTGCATGGAAAAGGGAGAAGGAAACATAACTGGGGGATCCTGGGGTATTCACTAAGGGGCCAGTAATCTCCTGTAGGCCCTGGAGTTTTCTAAGGGTCCTAGGAGCTGTTCTAAGGAGTCCCAGTTTTCAGTTTTGTCTAGGGGCTTGAAGTTATTCTGAGGGTCCTTGGAGATGGGACCCTCAGAATAACTCCCAGACAGGAGTTTCTAGGTTAAAAAAAAAAAAAAAACAAGAAAAGAAAAAGAAAAAAGGATTACTTACACATCTTGGGACTTAGGAGGATGGGTTGGGCTCATGAGAAATCTAAGCCCCCAACTTCCATGCACTGCCCTCCCAGTATTCACCAAGTCACTCACACATTCACACACACCTGCACTCTCAAACACTATCTTACATACCCCACACAGAATCTAAGACCCTATTCTCAGGATGGGTAGAGCTGAGTCTCACCCACAGGGCTGGAGAAGATGAAACACAAGGGGTAGGACACTCGGCCATCTTCGTGCACATACTTGTAGCTGTAAACCACGAACCTACACCAGTGAAAAGGAATTCAAATTCAGGACTTCAATGCCGATTACCTAAGTCTACAACCTTGAAATCTTGCATGAGTCTGAGAACCTAGGGTTAACAACTGAGACTGAAGGTACTGGCCTCAAACACAATAAATGATTAAAAATAATGATAATAGTAAGTGCTAAATAGAACTATCATATGATCCAGCAATTCCACTTCTGAGTATTTATGCAAAGAAAATGAAACACAAATTTGAAAAGATATATGCACCCCATGTCCATCACAGCATTATTTACAATAGCAAAATATGGAAACAAACTAAATGTCCATCGATGAATAAATGGATAAAGAAGATGTGGTTTATACATACAATGGAATACTATTCAGCCATTAAAAAGAAAGGAAATCCTGCCATTTGTGACAACATGGATGAAACGTTGAGACATTATGCTAAGTAAAATAAGTCAGACAAAGAAAGACAAATACTGTTATGATCTCACATTTGGAATTAAAAAAATAAACAAACAAAAAATCAAGTTCATAGATACAGAGAACAGATTGGTGGTTGCCAGAGGGAGGGGGTTGGTGGTGGGCAAAATGGGTGAGGGGGGTCAAAAAGTACAAACTTCCAGTTATAAAATAATAAGTCATGGGGATCTAATGTACAACATGGTGACTATCTATATATATATAACCGGCTAATATGCAAAGTGTCCCCTAGGAAGTTCAACCTGGAGTTCGATGGCTTGCTATGACGTGCGCTGACCACCAGGGGGCAGTGTGGAACAAAGGAAGGCCCTGGCTGGCAGCTGGAAGGGCCCAATAGGCCCTGATCGCCAGCCAGGTCTAGGGAACCTACCCATACACAGATTTCGTGTACCGGGGCTTCTAGTAATTAATAATACCGTATTGCATATTTGAAAGTTGCTAAGAGAGTAAATCTTAAAAGTCCTCATCACAAGAAAAAAAATGCTTTTGTAACTACGTGTGGTGACAGATGTTAACTAAATTTATTGTGCTGATCATTTCACTATATATACAAATATCAAATCACATTGTACACCTGAAACAGTAATGACATATACAGTAATGTCATATGTCAAATAGACCTCAATGAAAACATTTTAAAAAGAAAAACATAATGGCTTAAAAAAATAGTCAGTGCTACCCTGGCGAGTGTTGCTAAGTGGTTAGACCGCTGGCCCGCACACCAAAGGTTCATGAGTTCAATTCCTGGTCAAGGGCACATACTTGGGTTGCAGGTTCAATCTGGGCCCCAGTTCAGGCACCTGCAGAAGGCAACTAATCAATGTGTCTCTCTCACATTGATGTTTCTCTCTCTCTCTCTCTCTCTCACCTTCCTTCCCTCCCTTCTACTCTCTCTAAAAGTCAATGGAAAAATATCCTTAGGTGAGAATTAACAAAAAGTCAGTGCTTATTAACTCACAACAACCTTATGATGAAATTGCTATTTTATCCCTATACTACAGATGGGATAATTGAGGCCCAGAGAGGTGAAGTCACTTGCCCAAAGGTCTATGGGTACATTAGAACCTAGACTATAAATGCTCAACCACTATGTGATACTGTCCAGCTGGGGCTGAGACCAGGCCTGCCTACATAATTTGCCACACTCAGTGCTAACTGAAAATTGGGGGCCCCTTGTTCAAAAGACAAGAGAAAAACTTCTTCCTTTCTTCTGCAAGCTTTGCTGTCTTGGACATGGGAACACTTGAAAGGGGAGTGCAGATGCTTACAGGCACACTCTGGAACTTTCATTCAGGAGCAGGAGGTGTCTGACCCTAACCCTCCTGGAATCTGCACTCAGGCCCCCTGCCAGGGCATCACTGGGTGGTGCAGGGAGTGGATAGAGAACCGGTCCAGGGCTGGAGGTGGCACTGCCCCAAGCCCTAGCACATGCTCTATTGTCTCAGAAGACTTCATGAAAAAAACACAAATTCAAAGATAAAACAATAAAGGATTTCTAGACAGCAGGCAGCCGCAGAGCAATACCTCCCACATTTGAGGCTGCCTTCCGGATATGGGGCCCTTTGGGACTACACTTGTCAGACACCCAGGAGCTGGTTCTGGCTGGGATGGAGGCTCAAAATCCTCAGGCACCCAAAATTCACCTCAGGGGAAGTGGAAATCTAAACAGACCGGTTACCATAGAAGTGTCAGAGTGTTCCTCCACTCACAAAAAGCACCAGACTTACGTGGCTTCACACAAGATTTTCCCCAATTGTTAAATGTCAAATAATTTATTTGTTACCAGAAATATTCTGCAGCATTAAAGAGGAAGGAAATTTTCTTTCTTTTTATTTAATGAAGCAAGAGCAATGTTAAGGCTGAAACTTACCAAAGTTTGTATTTTTAAAAAAGCAAGCTCTAATTTCACATGTGATTATCAATGTAAAATTCTGCAACAAAATATTAGTATACTGTACACAGAGTCCTAGGATAAGAACTCCTGGCCTCAAACACAGAGATCCCAAGCTGGTGAATAGGACTGGAGCCCAAGCAGTCCGCTCAGTCCCCACCTCCATCATCACCCTCTCCCCATGGCCTGACCCTCCTGTTCCTTCCCCCAGGATACCTTGGCTGTCTTTCTGGCAACTCCATTTTTAGTTCCTCTGGAGAAATGTTCTGGGGGAGGAGGGAAAAAACAGAAGAAAATATTGCCATTAAACAAGCATTTATTATGTGCCAAGATACTGGTCTAAGTAACACACATGGACTAATTCGTTGAGCTCTTCCATAACTCTGTGGGGTAGGTCTTATTATTATCCCTACTTTACAGGTGAGCAAGCTGAGGCCCAGAGGTGTTAAGACACTGGCCCTAGATTGCACAGCAACTCTGAGCAGAGGAGTTCAAATATGAATCTGGGTTTAAATCATAACCACTTTACTATACCTCCTTTCAGACCAGAGGGAGCCCAACTCCTAGCCAATCCCCCTCCTCTGTCAAACAGCCCAGGCCCAGTCTCCACAGGCACCGCCCTAAATCCTTACCACAACACTATGAAGTAAGCCTTATTATCATTCCCATGTTATAGATAAAGACAGTGAGACCAAGAGAGGGTAAGGTTATATATTATAAAGGATGTCTGCTAACTTTTTATTAACTTATCTGGAAATTCTTTAAGTGCCAATAAAGTATTATCATTTTATTGAGCACTATGTGCCAGGCCTTCTAAACCCATTACAAAGATTAAATCATTGAATCCACAAACAACCCCATGAGGTCGGTACTGTTATCTCCATTTCATAGATGAGGAAGCAGAGACCCACACAGTCTCTTGCCTAAGATCACATCTGAGCGGGGACTTGACCTCCAGGTCTTTCTGGCCCCCAATGCCAGGCCCTTGGGTCTCCCAGCCCCACCCATTTCTGGGAGGTCCCATCCACCCAGCCCCTCACCTGAAATTCTTCCTCCAGCACCACCATCTGCCGGTCTTTGTCCACCTTCACTAGGGAGGGATGGCACACAGGGTTTAGTGAGGACACCCCTTCTAACTCAGGGACTCTAGTCCAGCCCTCGTCATATGTCCCCACCTCCCTCCCCTCCATCCAGGGAAAAGGACACTCACTTATTATGGCTGCATTATCTGTCTCTTTTCGAAAGCGGAATTTCCTCAGCTTTTCCTTTAGCTCTGGGTCCACCTCGCACACCACCAGGGAGTCCGACTGCAGCAGAGCCCAAAAAGCGCTGAGCAGGCCTCGCCTCAGTCCCTGCCCCCGGCCCAAGCCTCAGTGCCTCTATCTACTCATGAAGAGGAATGCTCTGACAGCCCCTATGCGGCCTTCATGACATGAGGAAAGGCACCTTTTCCCCAGGCAGACGCTGCCCCTCACCAGGGCACATACTTGGATTGTAGAGCAGAGGCCAAATTCCAGCCCTCCAGCAGGTATCCTTGGGCAAAACTCAAGGAAACCCCGAGATCTGTTTACCTGGGGCTAAACCAGGAACCACCGTCTCTCTTTCCCCAGCCTGGTCCTTCGCCACAGTGGGGGTCCCCTTCCCAGCCCCTTTTCTCCAACACACAGCCTGACCTTCACCCAGGCATCCTCCCAGCCCCAGACCCACCCCGAACGACCCCTGGCCCCCTGACCATGACTTTTCTGTCCACAGGCCTCTTCTTTTCTCAGTTCCGCTGTCTTCTAGGGGTGGGGACGAGGGCTGGGGAAAGAAGGGGGGCAGGGTGTGGGGTAGGGGAAAGGTTTCATACAACACCACATCCTGTTTATGCCCATTCTGGGACAACTGCTGCATAAGGCTCCTCCCCCTCCTTCCTTCCCCTAATCTGCCAGGACCTCCGAGCCTTTGAAATCACCTAGACTGGGGTTCAAATGCTGCCTTGCTATGTGACCATCGCTAAGTAACTTCACCCTCTGACTCAGGATTATTGTGAGGATAAAATAGCTTTACATGTCTCCAGGCATGGTGGACATTCTCCACACACAAAATAATGAGCTCTTTATCTCCTCCCCTCCTCCAGGAAGCCTTCCTGGATTTCCCCCCACTTAGAGTATTTTAACTCGAGCTGAAAAGGGGAGCTGCTAGTCAAACTGTCACCTACTATGTTGATGGGGAAATGGAGAGGACACAGGAGACACCATAGCAGCAGAGTAATGATGAATTTCTTCCTTAAGTTATTCAGCCTCACAGGCTTTATAATGGGCCCTACAACAATGGTGTTCAATCTTGTCAGACTAGGACCCCTTTTTTATTAAGTGTTTTGTATTGCTTCCTGTCTCATCCTGAAATGAAATTCCTGGATAATGTACCCTACTTACACACATACATTTTTTTAAAAAATCAATATAATGCTCTGTCATATAAAGGAGAAATGAAAAAGTAATTTATAGGAAAACCCTATGCATTTCAGTAAGAAACACAAGCAAACAAAAGAGAATTTTTGCAGATCCCAGCCCCATAATGGCTGCTTCCCTCCATAGTAGTGGACAAGCTTTTCTATTCCCCACTACCTCATACTGGATCCCACCCCTTCATCCACTTAAGGGCATCACTGCAGCTATCCCCCGTCTCCCAGTATCATCATATTCCCATCTCTCCTGGATCTGTCCCTCAGATAGGCAGTGTTACGTCTTCCATCTTAAAAACTATAAACCCCATCTCCTGCCCAGCCACTGCCCATTCGTTTCCTTCCCTTTTCAGCAAAACTTCTTGAAAGCATTGTTTACACTTGCTATTTGCAATTTCTCTTCCCAATTTTCCCTTCTAGTCTCTCCCAGCAGACTCTCACTCCTGTCCTTCTCCCCTGACCGGGCCACCAATGACCTGTATGGTGCTAGACCTCATGGTCAATTCTCATTCTTCATCTGACACCATCATCGCGCCCTGCGCTCTGGGCTTTTTTCACTTGGCTTTCAGGATACCACCCTCCCCAGGTTTCCCTCCGACTCCCCTGTCTGCTGCTCCTCCTGACAGTGGAGTGCCCCCTTCTCTTTCCCATCTACCTTCCTCCCTTCCTGTTCTCATCAGTCTCTTGCCTTTCAAAGAGGTTACCTTAATAATTTCTCCATCTGGGCATGCCCCCACCTCTACCAGTGGTACTCAACCTTCCTAATGCCGCGACCCTTTAATACAGTTCCTCATGTTGTGGTGACCCCCAACCATAAAATTATTTTCGTTGCTACTTCATAACTGTACTTTTGCTACTGTTATGAATCGTAATGTAAATATCTGATATGCAGGATGTATTTAGGCGACCCCTGTGAAAGGGGTCGCGACCCACAGGTTGAGAACCGCTGCTCTAGACTCTTACATCCAATGGCCAACCTGACATCTCCACCTGGATATCTTGGAGTCATCCTTGACCCTTCTCCTTCCTTTGACAACATACATTAGAACTTGTCAGCTTAGACCTTCCAACTGCAACCAGAACCTGCCCACTTCTCCCCCTCCACAGCCCATACCCTGGTCCTGCCACCTTCATCTTCTGCCTGAACACTTAGAAGCAGAAAGGAGTGAAGCCCCCTTCTCCCCTCTGCACTGTTTCCCTACTCCCCTTTTCCCACACTCTAATCTTCACAGGATTACCAGCAGGATCCTTATATAAACCAAGTCAGATGACATACTGCCTCTCTTAAAACCCTCCCTTGGCTCTCATATTATTGGGGTAAAAGCAAAAGCCCTTACAGTAGCCTTTAGAACGAAATTAGCTGCCATCGCCTCTCCTCCATTACCTCTTGGACCCTGTCTTCCACTACTCTCCCCTGTGCTCACTGCAGCTACTACGCTAGCCTTTGTGATTCTGTGAATAATCCCGCTCCTGGGCCTTTGCCCTTGCCATTAACTCAGGAACCCTCTTTCCC